TGTTGTTATAACAACAATCTGAAAAAACACCATCTAATAACACCTGCACAAATTAACGTAGAAGCCTCCAGAAAGAAAAGATAAAACCATAGTTTATGAGAAAGGACCTTAACAAGCAGGCCAAAAATTTGTTGCTCCTGTTACACACTTTGAGTGCAAAACTCTATTAAAAAAAACAACTTCCGAAGTTTTTTTTTTGTTTTTTTTTTTACAGATTTTGGAATATCGAAGTTAATTACAGTTCCCACTGTTTACTTTGATCACTCTCTTTGTACCGTAGAATTATACACGGATTTTTCTCAGCGTTTCCGAAGCCTTCGTTGGGAAACAATATACTGAACGATAAAAATTCGTTAAACTTTTTGTATTGTTGTTAACTTAGCCTTGAACAATTCTTTCAAGTTGCAATTGGTAACGTTTTTCTATAAACCTGTGGGTTCGCTTCTCGTGCAGTATTGCTAAAAGAGGGTCGCGGGATAACTTCGAACAGGCTTGAAATAAATTTGTCGTCAGAAACATTTTTTTTAGGTGGCTGATAAAGGAGATTAGGAAATGGATAGATTATTGACCTATTTATTTTCTCATGTTTGTATTGCTAGAAGGGAAAAAGAGCGAGTAACACAAACAAGGGTTTTTCTTTACAGATAAATAACCCTCTTTTGTGTTTTTTGTTAGAAGTAGGGTGAAAGATTTGATTTTGAATTTCGCGCAAAGCTACACGAGGGCTATCTGCGCTAGCCGTCCCTAATTTAGCAGTGTAAGACTAGAGAGAAAGCAGCTAGTCATCACCACCCACCGCCAACTCTTGGGCTGCTCCATTATCAAAGAATAGTGGGATTGACCGTCACATTATAACGTTCCCACGACTGAAAGGGCGAGCATGTTTGGTGGGACGGGGATTCGAACTTGCGACCCTCAGATTCTGAGCCAAGCGCCCTAACCACCTGGAAATGTCACTCAAATTGGAGAGGAAAGGGGCACGATGAAAAATGGTTATATTTACAGAAGGGCTCAGGAAAAGCTGGGGACCACTGCCATAGATAAAGATATTTATCTTCCTGACCTGATGGAGAGACTGGATTTGGTTTAGTTGAAACATCTTTCAGACATCTCATTAAGCTGTTGTAGTAGATAAATACCGTTAATGCGGGTCATTTCTGGAATCCATAAGGTGTTTAAAAGTAAGCCGTGAATCAGTAGCAGTCCACCACAGCAAGGTTCATCTAAGATTGAAGAAATAAGTTAGTTGATGAAAGAGGTTATAAGAATAAATTCTTAATGCCACTTTCAGGCTTTTGTTGTATTTTTTTGCAATACTAGACTTAATTTTTCTGTGATCATTAAAATTCAGTTGAGATTCAAAAGCGCAATTGTTTGTACTTTATTAGATGGCTGCTGTTAGCTTTAGGTTAACGTACGGCTTGGGCCCAGCAGCCCTAATGGTAATGATCCGGGCTGCGGATTGGAAGTTTCACGCCACAATGCTGCTGAACATGTCCCGCACTTTCAATTTGAGTACGTTATAAGAGTGACAGTCAGTCCCGTTATTTAGATCAAAGTTGAACAAAGCCCATGTGGCGGCGAATTTCCGCTGATTGATATGAGCTACAAACATAATGTTAGGTGGTGTCGCATCAGAAAATGTTTATCAGGTTAATTGCTGCCATTTGAGCAGGAATTAAACATTCGCTTTGCTCGTTTTATAAGTGCATTATTGAATATAATAGGGAAATAATTGAATTCTTTAGGGAAAGAAAGTATAGATAAAGTATGATGACTTTTAAATCAATCTTAACACCCTACGTGGAGAAATGCTTTGTTTTCATTGTTTACTGTGCTTTATAAAA